TAACCTCTACTCTCTTCTCCCACATACCCACGTTACTCAAATTCTTTGTCCTCTCTGTATTTTCACAGCATAATCAATCTTTATTATTATTTGGCATATGAAAACAGATCTATAAAACAACAAATTTCAGCAAGAAAAACGGAAGAAATATAGAGATAGAGAAAGTAGAGGAGAAAGAGATCTAACCGTCCATCTCAACGATATGGTTTTCAACCTTGATTTTGTCGAAAGCCATGTTTACAGATGAAAGAGATGAAACTGTATTCACATGTATTCAGCAACATTCATTTATATATTTTAGATGTATTAAAAAGTTGTGATTATTCTCTTGTATTCAGTTTTAATCAGTTGTAATTAACTATTTTATTCAGCAGTAGTTAGTTGTATTCAAGTGTTTTATACAACTGTATTCAGTTGTATTCAGTTGTAGTTAGTTATATTCAACTATTTTATTCAGCAGAAGTTAGTTGTATTTTGTTGCATTCAAGAGTTTTATTCAGCTGTATTCAATTGTATTTTATTGTATTCAATAGAAAAAAAGGAGAAGAGAATTGAGAAGTTCGATCAGATGTGTTGCTCTGGTTTTTCCTTCTTTTCACGTTTTTGAGTTGCTTTCTTTGAGCAAAATACAAATTAGTGTGTACTCGTTTTAGTTCTTTGAGTTAAATTAGGAGACTATCATGTGATTTGATTTTCTTCCGTTTTTAACAAGTTTAAGTTCCCAGAATTTGCGCAAAAAAGTTACTGTATTTCACTGAAATTTTGCTTGAATACAGTTAAATACAGCTAAAATTTCTCTTGAATACAGTTAAATACAGATAACACTTAGCTGGATTTCCCGTTTTTACGCCTATTTTTTTTCTTGTATTAATGAATACAACCGTTTAAATACATGAAATACATTGTATAAAAACATAAAAGATATCTATAGAGCGTAATATAGTAAAATGTATCTATAAATGGCTAATTAGGACTAAAAGATGGTGCTTTGTGAAAAATTCTCAAATAACTATTAGCCTATCATTATGAATACGTTTCTTTCTAAACAATTAACCCTCTCACATACATAACATTACATATACTTATTTTCTTTATAAATATGACTATATGTTTGATGCCACAAGCTAACATAAATAAAACTTAAAAGTCTAAACAATTCAGCAATTTTATTACGTGTATTTCATGTGCGCATCATGCCAATCAATATAAAACGTATATTGTAATAAATTAGTGAAAAATAATAATTGATGTTAAAAAATGCAATATCTATTTAAATGATTAAAATGAATATTTACTATATATTGATTTTGAATATTCTGAAAGCATAAAACAACCCTTCAAGTTCTAGAATAAAACCTAACAAATAATAAAAGTATTTAATGTACCTAACAACCTAAAAAAATTATGGAGTAATTTATATAAAGTTAATTATTGCACAGAGTTGAACTTGGCCAATATTCTTTAAAAAAATAAATCATTCCTTCAACAAATAAATTAATATAAATCAGTTATATTAAATTTTTAAATTCATCTAATATTTAAAACTTTAAGTTTAACTAATTAAGTTTTACCATAATTTTAATGAAATGTGATTTAAGGATCTACATTTGCTCTAATATTTTTTGATATACGAGTATAATATATTTATCTATTAATATCGATATACATATCTACTATATTATAAAAGCACAAAATCTAATACGAAATACTGATGATCTTCTCCCCCTTCATAAATGCTTTTCATGTCGGATAAATCATAATTATAATTAATAATTAATTTGTGGCATTAACTAAAATTTTATGATTTTGAGGACTTTTAGAGGGCAAAGCTTTTTCCTTCATTGAGTTAGTTAAATAAAATCAACAATCATCTCAGCTTCATAGTTTTATAATGTGTATTATGTATGATTTTTTAAAATCAATTTTGTATTCCCGAGTCAAGGTTCACGCGCAACACGCGTATCCTAAGACTAGTTTTCTTAAAAGTTTAAGGGGTAAAAGTATTATGGGACCATGACATTTGTCTGGTTATAAAAATTTCTCGTAAAAGTAAAATAAAAAGTTTGAAGTTGAATTTATTTCAATTGTAGAAATGTGTCATTCTTTTTGGAACAGAGTAAAAAAATGTACCATCTGAAATAGAGAAAGTAATTGAAACCATTTACCTTTAGCAATGGTTTTTTTAATTTTATTGTATCACAGATATAGTTTTTCCTGATATTATCTGACTTGGCACTTATTTGGAACATTATACAGCTAATTAGATTAGTTAAATATTTGGGTCACCTTAACGTCTCTTAATACCTACGCAAGTAGGAGCGGATCCAATATATTAGTACCACGCGGAGTATAAATATATAAAAATTCACTAAAAGTTACAATAAACAATATGTATGAACCCTATAATTTGCCTAATCAATTTAAAACCACTTGGCCAAACGTTTTAAAAAAGTACTTACGCGATTGAAGACTATAAAACCAAGGTCAAGATCAACGCCGTCGACAGTGACGGACTTGGCGTGGCCGCCGAGATAATCCTCCTTTTCATAAACCACAACCTTAACACCAGCTTTTGTCAATTCATATGCAGAAACCAGTCCACTTATCCCTGCCCCAACCACTGCTACTTTCATGTTTAAAACTTAGGATTCAAAGTTACAACTGCATGCAATAACAATCAAGATTAGAAGAGGTAAAAGGACAGAAGTAATTAGTAGTCACTAGTCAGTAAACTCAGGGGCAGAGCTAACCCTTCAAATATAAGTTCGGCTGAATCCAGTAACTTTTATCCAAATCATATATTTGTCTTAAAAAATTATTGAATTATGCACAAATTATTAATTTAAAACTCAATAGCTTAAAAGAATTAGAATACTGAACCCATAAGTTTCAAATTTGGCTCCGCCTTTGAGTAAATTTTATCTTTAATGTATACATTGCATATCACTAATTAGATGAGCATAGCTATGGAGTTGTTGGTGTTTAAGGTGTTATAATAGTGGTAAACTTACCTCAAGGATATTGCTGTGAGTTTTAAGAGTTGAGGACATTCTAAAAATGCGGTAAGAGTAGAAGAAACTCCTTTAATATCTTTGCGCCAAATGCATTGCGTTGCCCAGAAGATTTGCTACTTCGTTTTGCTCTCTGAAGATGAACGGAATATCAGGATCACCTAATCAGTTTACTATTTATAACCTGCACAAGATACTTCCGTTTGGATATGTTGGGTCAAGATAAGAAAGGATAAAGGATGGTCTACGAGATATGGTGTGATAGTGTCCGTTTTAGACTAAGGCCCTACGTTATTCCCCAAAGGCCCCACACTATTAAGAGTATTCAACTCCTTATAAGATGAAAATAGCATGGGCTAGCCACTTTTCGGACATGTAATCGAAAAATAGCCAGCATTTGCAAAGTTATCGAAAAATAATTATTATTTTATCTCAAACATGGAAAGTTTCAGCATAATATGCTGGGTTATGGAGCTCCTGCATACAAACTTCCAGCATATTATGTTAGAACTCTAACGCATTGAGCTGGAATCTCATATATAAAAAATTCGAATTTCAGCAAACTATGCTGGAATTTTTTCGGATTTTTAAGGTTCTTTTTGTTTAGATTTTATCTCTACATGAAAAAGTGGCTAAATTTCAATTAGTTTTGAAACTGTGGCTATTGTTTAGTTACCAGTTGTATAACAGGCTATTTTTTTTTCCTATTATAAGTATCTTATTTTCTTTTCTACTTTCTACGTGAGACTTTGTTTGCACACACTCAATAATTTCTCCTTTGAAATAAGTTCCACATGAATCATCACCATTAATGGGCTAACTTGGAGACAACCCACATGATCCGAATTTTTATGGTTACCGAAGCTTAGCGGAAAGGCTGTGTATGCGTCTTTGAAGTTACGGGTAAAAGTAGTAAACCAGTCTATAGACGGGCAAAAGCATTAAGCTGGTCCTGGGCCATCACTCCGCCATCTCCATACTCATTCTGCCAAACCATTGTCTCTGATATGAGTTGTTGGTCTAAAACGGCCTAAAAATATTCTTAATGTGGTGTGATATTGTTCACTTTGGACTAAACTCACACGATTTTTTTCAAAAAACCTCACACATTACGAGTATTCAATTTCTTATAAGTAATTTATTTTTTCCTTTCTATTTTCCATTTGGAACTTTGTTCCCACACACAATAAGATAGGATATTGTGTTATTATGCTTCTCTTTTTTAACTTAATTAATTAACTTGAAAAGGATTTTCGACTAAGACTACTACACATTAAGTACGAACTAATTTCATGCAAGGTCCTGTCACATATTTAAGCCTTTATGTAGTTTAATTAATGAAAGAAATATTTAGTTACTTACCTTATTAGAATTGGAGCAATAGAAAGAAGGGGTATTTATCCAGAATTTAGTTTTTGTTTTTCCTTTTTCTTGTTCAATACGTTTTTTCTATTTACCCTTCAAGAATACTCGCTAGACACAATGTAGGTCCTCTTCTAGGATTTTCTAGTAATTAAGAAGTCCAAGTAACGACATTATTTTACCTCTTCCAGATCTATAAAAGGAATGTCCACCTAAATTAATTAAAGGAAAGACACAAATATGCAATTTTTACGACAAACCTAACCAAATCTTTAGAATTTTATATTAAAAAAACACAAACCAAAAGTGGCCATCCCTCTCAAATTACTTAGGGAAAATTCTAGAGTTGACAAATCTCCAAGACCAATAAGAACTTTTTTGTACAGTTAATGCAAATCAAGAAGAAATTGAAGAGTACCTAAAAAAATTGAAGTCTCAACCAAAATTCTAAAATTCTTATTCTTTATATTTAATGCTATACATTAGACAATAGTCCATTATCCATATGTCAATAATAAAAATTCAATATCGTACCCATTAGACTTTATCTCCTGTATTATAATTATTAAGTTACTGTCAGAATATTTTTTAAAATGGTTCTAGATAAATTGTTTATATTTATTAAATAAATTTCTTAATAAAAATATAGATTTGGTCAAAACTATTGAATTTTTCCAAACATATAACTAGAACTCTATCTCCACTCATGTATATTAATCGGGATGCACAATACAATTTATTGAAGAAAAAGAAGAAAAAAAAGCCGACTATTTTTTAGTAGCTTCCCTTTTAGGGTTTATTTGGTAACTAGAACTGCAAAATTTATTAGCTTCACCCAATAATTAAATGAGCACTCAAAATTTTTAATCTCTCCTTTCCTTTTGTCAAAAAGTAAATTCCTTTGAATAATTTTTATAGCCTATTTAGTCAAGCTTCTTCAAAGTCAAAATTATTTTTATTTAAAATAAAAAAAGTTCGTTTTTTTCAAAGTAGAAACGGAATTTTGAGAAGCAGAAAAAAGTAGCTTCTTCCCAGAATCACTTTTGAGAAAAATACACTTAGAAGCACTTTTTAAGAGATTGGCCAAATACTAATTGCTACTAAAGCTTTTCAAATTAATTTAGTCAAATACCAACTGTTTTTCACCAAAAGTACTTTTTTCGAAAAGCACTTTTCAATATAAGTTGATTTTAAAAGCTTAGTCAAACATGTTAATTGGTAAATGAAAAGAGGAGTTCATAGAGAGAATCACAGAAGTATGAATGGATTGTTAAGTGTGTGAAAGTCCTACATGGAAAGCAAAAAAAGAAAAATAAGCTACTTATAAGGTATTGGACACTCTTATAGTCTGTTTGGCCAAGCTTTTTTTTGGTCAAAAGTATTTTTTTTTTTTTGCCAAAAGCATTTTTGGCCAAAAATTGAGGTGTTTGGGCAAGCTTTTGGAAGGAAAAAAAGTACTTTTGAGAGAAGCAGAAGTAGTTTTGGAGAATCAGAAAAAGTAGTTTCTCTCCAAAAGCACTTTTCTGAGAAGTACTTTTGAGAAAAATACACTTAGAAGCAGTTTTTAAAAGCTTGGCTAACTACCAATTACTGCTCAAAAGTACTTTTCAAATTAATTAGCCAAACACAAGCTGCTTCTCACCAAAAATATTTTTTTTAAAAAGTACTTTTGAGAAAAACACTTCTCAAAATAAGCTGATTTTAGAAGCTTGGCCAAACGGGCTATTAATAGTGTGAGACCGAAATCGACGGACTTTTTTCAAAGCGAACAATATCACACTATATTAAAAGTATCTTTGTGCCAGTTTAGCCCAACACCAATGACATGTCTGGCTTGATTACGTTTTCCTTGTTGTGTTGAGTAATAAATTTATTTTTCCAAAAGGAAGTTTCGGTATTCCAACTCCAATCACCATACTATATTATAAATGAGAAGCCCCGAAGTAAAAGTTAAGAGGCCAATATACCATAAAAAATTTAAACAACCATCTTGCCAGTCATTTAAACACTACTTTTTGTATGAAAATTTAAATTATATATTAATATGAAATTAGGTTTAAAAAAAATGTGAACTCTAGGGTAAATGAAAAGCCTATTTTATCAAAATTGAGCAAAGTTTATTGATTTTACTCACTGGGTGTGTTTGGTATAAAGAAAAATATTTTTCGGAAAATGTTTTTTAATTTTTCTATGTTTGGTTGGCTTAAGTGTTTTGAAAAACATTTTCCTTATGAACTCATTTTCCTCTAATTGGAGGAAAATATTTTCCCCATCAAAAGAAGGGAAAACATTTTCCTAAACTACTTCTAAACCTTCCCACCCTCACCAACCCACCCCACACTCACCTACCCAACCCCACCCCTTCTCTCCAA